GGACTCTGCTGGGGCTTGTGTGGACTCGGGTGGCTGCCGATCAGGGCTAACCTGTGCCAGGAAACGCCGCAATCACCCAGGGTGAAAGTTGGGGGCAACGGGAGTGTTGTAGTGAAGACTTGGGCCATGTTTCCCGAAAAACACATTTGAGTCAGCCCATGAATCACCATTTGCCATTTACTGTGCTGCTTTAACTGTGACAACCAATCCAGATTTCGTTAAGAGCTACCATTAGCTTCCAATCGGCCTCTCCCTGGGTTCTAAAACCCCCAAACTCCTTTCCCTGCTGTGCATTCGTGCTGATTTCTGGGCTGAAGATCAGTTTAACAGAGACAACACCTAGCTGCCCTGGAAAAGCTTTTACAGTGGATCAGATCTGCAGTCAACCATTCAAGCTGAGTTAGTTACACGGAAGTTCTGGCTGAACTTGGAATGTCTCAGAGGACCGCCACGCCCCGGTCAGTTGGTCAGCTCATCTCCCTAAGTTCATTAGCTAGAAGTTTTTACCGAAGTGGCGTACCACTGCCAAGTTTAACAGCTCAAGCCTGACTATGGCCCCATACTGACCAAAGTTAAGCAGGAGCTCGGAAAGCCTTTTGCCAAAGGTGCATTCATGGGGACCCCTAAAGTATCCATCTCTCCTCACCCAGAGCAAACTGACTTTGGGGAACTGAGAGCTGGGCCCTGGGTTAGTCAGCCTGGCAGAAGAAGGTTATTAGTTATGAAATAATTCACGTGAGAAAGCTGCAGATCACCGCTCTTACCAAGCCAATTAAGGGTATATAGTGAGTCCTTTGATTAGCAGGCTGATTGGGACTCAGAAAGCCTCGGAGATTCTTGGTATGGAAGCAGGGCAGGGTAGGATTTTTTTGTTTTTGTTTTTGTTGTTTGTTTGTTTGTATTTAGGCAGGGTTTCTGGCTGTCCTGGAACTTACTCTGTAGACCAGGCTGACCTCAAATAGAGATCCCTGCCTCTGCTCCCGCTGGGATTGAAGTCGTGCACCACCACCACCACCACCACCACCACCACCACCACCACCACCAACACCTCAGGGCAAGGGTAGGGTTTTTTTAAGTCAAAAGGAAGAAATCACAACACACCAGGGGCAGGTGAGCATAGGGTGGGGTTTTTTTTTGGGGGGGAGTTTGTTTTGTTTGTTAGTTTTTTTTTTAACAATATGCTGTTTCACAGCAGGGAAGGAATGGCCCTTTAATCATATAAGTTCATTTTTCTGGAGGAACCTTTTGTATATATTCAAGATACTTTCCCAGTAGGGAAAAAGGAATCTTTTTTCTTTTTCTCTTCCTTCCTCCCTCCCTCCCTTCCTTCCTTCCTTTCTTCCTTTCTTTCATTCTTCCTCTTTCCTTCCCTCTTTCCTCCCCTCCCTCCTTCCTTTCTTTCCTTCTTTTTTTAAAGTTTTTTTAAAATTTATTTTTATTATGTATACGATATTCTGTCTGTGTGTATGCCTGAAGGCCAGAAGGGGGCACCAGACCTCATTACAGATGGTTATGAGCCACCATGTGATTGCTGGGAACTGAACTCAGGACGGCTGAGCCATCTCTCCAGCTCCCCCCTCCCCATTTCTTTCCTTCTTTCAGAAGACAAAGTATTGTTTACAATCTGGGTGAGAGTCCAGAGGGGAGAAGATGTAGTGCTGGAGCACCTAACTTCTAAGTCATTTCATGGCCAGTGAGATGACTCAGTGGGTAAAGGCACTTCCCACCAAGCCCAGGGTCTTGAGTTCAAGCTTGTGAATCCACATTATGGAAGTAGTACTGACTCCCCCACATTGTCCTGTGACCTCTGGGTGAATTATGGTGCGTGCTCCTACATGCAAAGGCAAGATAAACAAGCAAATACAATAAAACATTTTAAATGTGTGTTTATTTTATGTGTATGAGTACATGTATATATGTAGACCATGTGCAGAGGCCAGAAGAGGAAATCTGATCCCCCAGACTGAACCTATAGATAGTTATGAGCTACCATGTGGATGATGGGAACTAAATCAGGTCTTCTGCCACAACAGCAAGGGTTCTTAACTACAAAGCCATCTTTGCAGCCCTGTAAAACATTTTAAATTAAAAATTTAAAATAAATAGTTTTACAGAAAAGATAAGGCTGGGAATTAGGGGTACCTGTCTATAATCAGTCTGTGAAAGGTGGAGACAGAGATCAGAAGCAAGTTCGAGGCCCATCTAGGCTGCATAAAACCCTGTCAAAACACACACACACACACACACACACACACACACACACACACATCTTTTAAATTATAGTTTTCGGTGTTAGAGATTGAACCCAGGACTTTGTGCATCCCTGAGCTACCTTCACAGACCCCTTTACTTGTTCATTCATCAAACTTACTTCATGCTAGCGTTGAGTGCCCTCAAGATATTGTGTGCTGGATGAAAGGAATGTTAGTCCAGAGGGTATAAATGGGGAGGGCTGAGGTTAGGCTCACCTGTTCAAGGGAAGAAGGCTAGTCCTGGGAAGGAGTCAGAGAAGGGTTGAGGGGTAGCCAAGCAGGGCTAGCCTCGACAGACATACAAGGAGTTAATTTTTTCCTAGGTGACAGTAGTCGGGATGACTTGCATTTCTGGTACTCTGTCAGTCACATGGAGCAGTGTGACATTTTCAGTGCCAGCTGGAGAAATAGTCTGGGACTGGAGAGAGTGGGGACTGCTCTAGAGCCCTGGCACAGGCGTGGAGAGGGAGGGCTGGCTTCTAGGGTTAAGAAGCAAGGCGGGGAAATCTGAAATGGCAAGACGGTACTTGGATGGTAAAGGCACTCGCCGCCAAACCTAATAGCTTGAATTTGAGTCCCAGGCCCCCCGTGTGGTGAAAGGAGAGAACCAACTCTTACAAATTCTCTTCTGACCTCCACACATGTGATGTGAATTCCTCACCAACAATAAAGTGTAAATCTTTTTTTCTTTTCTTTTCTTTCTTCTTTTGTTTTGTTTTGTTTTTCGAGACAGGGTTTCTCTGTAGCTTTGGAGCCTATCCTGGAATTAGCTCTGTAGACCAGGCTGGCCTCAGACTCACAGAGATCCACCTGCCTCTGCCTCCCGAGTGCTGGAATTAAAGGTGTGCGCCACCATCTCCCGGCTGAAAGTATAAATCATTTTAAAGATGGAAATTTTACTTGTTTTATGTGTTTGAGCATTTTGCCTGTACATGTGTATACCACTTGTGTGTAGTGCCAGAGGAGGCCAAGAGGTTGTTGTGGCTCCTGGAACTGGAGTTACAGACAACTGTGAGCACAGGTGGGTGCTGGGAATCAAACCAGGTCCTCAGAAGGATCACTCAGTGCTTTGAAACACCGAGCCATCTCTTCAGCCCCCAAAGATGGAAAACTTGAATAGATCTGAGGCCTCTGTTTCAGGAGACCTCACTTCCTTGGCCAGTACTGAGGTGCACTGCAGTGGGAGCCCACTATAACTATCAATGTGCCTTAACAGACACATTGAAGAGATGAAGGCACAGAATGCCTGAAACTCCGAAGACCCACACCACAACAGAAGCCACAGAGGTTCCTGTTAGAAAATGAGTGTAAGGGAGGAGAGACAGCAGCGAGGGAACCCTTCTCTTCAGGGACAGCATAGCCAAGTGGCTCCCAGGGAGAAAATGGCCTTGGAGGCAGAGATCAAACCTCAGCAGAGAGGCCAAGCTACGGGTGCTGAATACCCCCAGTGTACAATTAGGAAAGAAGCCATGACTGGTCTCAAGTAGGCTTGTGTGGGCAGCATGGGATACTAGCATCTAGGATACCTGTGGCAAACATGGCCTTCCCTAATGCTCTAGCACTGAACTTGAAAAGATCCTATCCTGACCATCCCAGAACTTTAAGTAAGAACACTAAATATGTTTACAGTGCGTTTTACTCAGTGTCCGCCATCTGGGAAGCAGGGCAAAATCTGCCTTCAAAGTTTAGTCTTTTCCCTTTGGTCTTGTGTTCCTCCATTATCAAAGCCTCCCCCTCACTGTACAATAGGAGGAAGTGGTGACACCACCAAGTCTTGTATTCCTTCTCAGTGCCAGTTGAAGAATATCTAGGTTAATGTTAACTCGGAGCAAATAACAGTGTGTATGTGGTAAGGTTCTTCCACACTGAGCTCTTAGGACCCACCTGCCTTCTGACTCTTGACCAATGCTGAGGTTAGAGACGTAAACAGCCATGTCCACCACATGGGTGCTGGGGATTGAACTCATGCTTTTAGAGCTTGCATGCTTACCCACTGAATCATCTCCTCGATCCCAAGTGTGGTCTTGTAAAGTACTCCTGATCCTCTCTACAAAGGTCAGTAAAATGCACTCTCACAGAATATGGAGCCAGGGAGATGGCTTAGGGAGTGTCAGTTCCAATGGCCCATGTCAGATCCCTGATACCCACGTGCTAGAAAGAGAGAACTGATTCTCACAAGCTGTCTTCTGACTTCCATATGTGTGCCGTAGTATGTGTGCTTGTTCTCCAATGATAAAAAAAAATGCTAAGACACCCAAACCTTAATAATACAGAATATACAGTGTCCCTATCATTCCCCACTGTTGTTAGTCTATAGGAGCTGCTGCCGATTCACACAGGATTAACAT